TAATTTATGGTGAGAGAATATTTAGAAATTCCTGTGTACATAAGACAATGTTTTGTTTCAGACTCCATTTGACTTTTTCCAATACTGAAAAAATAAAAAAGGATAGAGTCAGAAAACATGTAAGACACAGATTCCTTCAAAACTAGTTTCTTACCTGGAAAAAGATATCCTTTAGTCACTTTACTTGTACATCAAGAAATTTAATGTACTTACACTCTGAGTACTTAGAGTCATCTGGGGACTCAAACAAAATCTGTCTTATTTCACCAAATCTTAACAAATAAAAATATAGCAGTGCATATAACAGCTATTGTTACTAATTTGTCTAATTATTATATTATAATATTATATATAACATAATATTATGTCTAATATTACTAACAGTAATAAAGCAATTAATTATTAAATAATTACTTAAAAGTATGCAGTTAAAATTGTACAGAATCCTCCTAGAATCAACCTCTTTTCTCTGGTGGTGTTCTGTGGCATCCTTTATATCCATTTGGATCCTTAGCCACTTTGGTTTTCCTTGGGAGAATAAAGGTAGCACCATGGGGTAGTTATGGCAAACAACCAGCAAGATTAATTCATTGTCAAAGAGTATGATGGTGATGATTTTCTTCTCAGTTTTGGGTCTATATGGAGTAATTTAATCATGTACCTCATATGTCCTTTTGTCTGGCTCCAAGGCAATGAGTGTTTCTGTTCTCCATTCTTATATTCTGAGATGATTGCAAAAACATTGCCAGATTCACATTACTGCAACTACATAGCATTGTAATTAGGTGTGCAAGTAATATATAAATTCTGAATGCATATTGTGTCTCCAAATGATATCTTTAAATTCACTGTATTTACTACTGGAGTTTTAGAATTTCTAAATACAATAAATTTTTCAGAATGAGCATCTGGTCTTTCTGACATAAAAAAGTTGAATAAATAAAAATAGCTCTTAACCTTTTCCTACGCTCCCAGAAACATCTGTAGTTTTGCACTACATACATAATGTGTTTATTTCTTGTGTGTGTTGGGTGCCTGGCAAGCTTGTTAGACACACCAGGAAGAAAAAAACAAATATATTTATTCATATGCAGTGCATTTATTTACAAATTTTTATCACTGTTCTGTGTTTGATAACACACTGTAGCTAAACTGCATCATCAAAATCAAATACTCAAGTAGAATGTCACAATTTAAAATTTGGGGTTTTAAGAGTTGAAACAGAAAGCAATATATTTTCCTAAATCTCTGTAGACATTGTCTTTTAGTTCCCCTGGTTTCCTGGTTTCCCATGGCTACCCAAGCCATATCAGGTACTTATGGGATCTGTTAATGAGGTCAGATAACAGTTCCAAAATCAAAAAGGGAAAGAAGAAAAGGAACTGATAATCCCAAAAAAAAAAAAAAAAAAAAAGAAAGCAGCACATCTGTCATAGAATTTTTTTCTGCCAAAGTGGCATACTATAAAGGAATGATTGAAGAGCCTAGCAAAAGATGTAGGCACATCCTGCCTGGCCTCCATCTCTCCAGAAGCACATGGATCTCATGGTGGTGCAATGTCTTATCTACCAACTCTGTGCTGATGTTTCAGATATCTCACAGTATCTAAAACAGCAACAGAGAGTCACCTGAATAACTCCATTAGGTATTTTAAATTTATAAAAGTTGATACAAATGGAATGAGATATGCAAATCGAATGTAAGATGGAAAATTGCTGTAGATAAAAAAAACCTCAGCTACTAGAGGAAATTTAAATTTTAAATGTGCTTAATATGCATATGAGATCTGCTTAACGAGATGACTACTTATTTTGCATAATTGTTCCACCTAAAGTTTCACTTTTACCAGAGTACTCAGATCTTTAGTTGTCTAACATTTAGTTGGACATTTAGACTGATCTGAATAAGTGACTATACACATACATTATCTCACAGGTATTTTGCTGCTTACCTGCCATTTCTCTCCTGCAGTTGTGATGTGCTTGCTATGTTTCATTTTAAATGGCAATGAAAACTATTCTATATTCTATGACAGTTTGTAGAGTTTAATATACAAATAAGACTTAAGCTCTGAGGCCAATATCCTTTTATACCTAAAGAACAACACTTAAGTATCAGGTTATTTCAATAGTCAGAATGAATTACATTACAGTTCTTTCTAAAAATCTGTAGTATTTTACTGGGTGATATTTGCATGCTGAATTCTCACTTATTAAAATTTTGGATTAATTTTGCATCCACTAAACCAAAAATATTACTGCTGAATTTCTTCATATCAATTTAAGTGTAGCAACCAAATTAAAGAAACAAGCTTATCCTTTTTGACTAAATGCAATGTAATGATGGTTATAAAAGGCCCACTGCTGAAAGCTAAATGGTATCCAACAGCTCTTATAATGATCTGTTTTGCATCAGGAGCTGTAATGTTTACTGTGCTAGTAACATATGTGTTCATTTAAAAAATCCACTACCCATCTAGCTGTGTCTACATACCATTCATAAAATTAAACATTTTGGGATAACTGTATACTCCTTTTCTGCTGGATATATGTTTATACCCAGAATTCTTTTAAATTATTGAATACATAAATAAATGTGGGCTAAACCTACTGTGAGATGCAAGTTAAACTTTTATTCAAATTATTTCTTTGGCTTTACATTAGGCTAGCTTATTTTAAAGTGTTGATACTTACCAATGAATTAATTAATTTATTAGATGATGACCAAGCTATTGGAAAAAATGCATTGATATTGACTGATTAAAAAATTATGCATATGCCTGTTTGGGAGATGTAAGCATTTTATTACCTTTTTTTTATTAACAGAAGAAAAATATACCCTCTTAATCAAATAAAAAAACTGCATTTCCTAAATCATAAATATTCTGTACATAATTCTTCATCTTTTCATATTAACATAAGTTCTTTAGTCTTGTTTTAATGATGCTATTCATAAAGCTACCAATGACAAAACAAAGAACAACTTTGTAAATATACCCTCTGAGGACTTGCTGCATATAAATATGTGAATATTCACCTCTTTAGGGGCCTTTGCTTCTTTTGTTCATGTTTTTCATTTTTCTGGTTATGTGATGTGAGTACTATTATCATTTGGCTTTCATAACTTTCATGACTGTAACCAATGGCAAAAATTGGCTATTGTATTGAGGAGTTTCTTCTTTTTTCTTTTTTTGTTTTGCTTTGTTTGGTTTTTCAAAGACTGTTTAAGAAAAAAAATCTATAAATACCCATAATTTACAGTATCTGTTAGGGACACCAAGTACATAGAGATCAAAGAAAAATATAACAGTTTTTATGATCCCCACAGCAAAAAAGCTTTATGGTAAATTACTGGTACACTATATAGAACTCATCTAAAGGTAACTTAAAGCTAAAAATAAGTAAAACATTAAATAAATGTTAATATTTCAATTACAGTATTTTTTAGCAAATCATTTCCTGACCTTTTGAATTCTGGGCTTCTCATCACTCTATATCCTTCCCTCTGATGAGACTACAAATGGTGATAATGGTAGGACATAAGTTATCAGTTAATTTGTGATTTCAGAAGAAGGCTGAGACTGAATTTCAAAATCAGCAGCAGCAAATGTATTAAAACATCCATAAGCACCATTGGTGTTTGTTCCTGCATCAAGCAAAATCAAAAATATATGTCATCTCTTCCAGTAAAATTGTCAGATTGTCAGAGTTTACATATTTCTTGAAGTGTGCTAAGGACCAGCCTATGTAGCTGTATATATAGCTGTGTTAAAAAAAAAACCAAAACAATGAAAAAACCCAAAAAAACCCCAAAACTAAATCAAGCACAAAAACCTCTAGCAAACAAAAAATCACAGTGCATTTGTTCTAACAATGGAAAGGGAAAATGTAAACTTGAGCAACCTAGGCTAACTGACTTTTAGCTCACTTTGAACAGTAGGTTGGACTATATGGCCTCTAGAGGTCCCTTTTGACTTAAAATTTTCTGTCATTCTGAATTCAAAATAAAATGTAAAATAAGGGCTTATTTAAAAATACATGAAAATAATTTCAATCATTAATAAAATATATAATCATATTTTCTACACAATTCATCACACATGGCTAACTGGGTTCTAAGGGTATGTCTATATTTCACTGGTGTGTGTACACAGCTAAATTCTTTGGTTGGTTCTTTACACATTTTTGACAGTTAAATATTATGGGCTTTGTTGGTCTGATATGAACCCTGATGAGGTTATTTTCCTTAAACTGAGGAAGATAAGTGTTGTCATATGTACATCAGAAGAATATGAAGAAGTGAGTATCAGTAGAGCTTATAAACAGGGCTGAGTACACAAAAAATTTTCTTTCATTTGTGTCTCAAAGACTGTGATTTTAATAGAATAAAACAAGCACAAACATACAAACAACAAAACCACAAACCTTAATGACCCTGTAATTCCTTTCCAGAGAGCTTTTTATATGGATTTGTTATTTCACAATGATGCTGTTCTTCAAGTTGAGATCAGAAATTTCTCCTCTGAGGCTAAAGTGCACAGTTTAAATAATACTAAATTCCTTCATTAAAGTAAATCATAGTCCCTTTCTTTCGTCATATTACTGTGAAAAAATTCAGTTGCTACAAATTTTGGCAGGAACCAGTGTAAGATATATAGTGCAATACATTTTTAAACATAACTCTAAGGAGTGTAAATTTGCTGCTGAATTGTGAATACTTTGGTTGCTTTATTTTTCAGCAACTAATAACCTGAACAGCTTTTAAGTCTATTTCCTACATCTTCTTATCACCTCTGCTAAATATAGTGTGTATGAAAGACAGTCAAATTTTTTATTAATTCCTCAATTACTATATAAAGTAATTTTTTCAAGTAATGCAAACTCCATACTTTTAAGACAGTTGTCCTTTCCATGATTAAATATTATTTGGAACAGCCATCTGTCACACACAATTTTATTTTCCAAACAATTAACTATGAATTGTGCTTTTTTGTTTCTTAGGTTAACAGGATTTCATCTTCCTCCACCTGTGACAAGTACAAAATCTGTGTTTTCACTGCGCTTGACAAGTGACTTTGCAGTTAGTGCTCATGGGTTTAAAGTTTACTATGAAGGTAAGACATTATTAACAAAATATGTTGGGTTTTTTTCCTCTCTGATCTCTACACATAAAAAACTAAGCATCTCACAGAAATATACAAAAATACACATATATAACCTCATCCAAGTTGCAATATTTTCTTTCCCTGTAATCATTCACAGATGTATAGGGTGATATCTGAAACCAAAATATTCAAAGCTCTACAACATATAGTCTCATCCAGTCACAAATATTTTATGGTCTCTAATAATAGCAAGTTCTTTAAATACTGAAAAACAGAATTGTTATTGTTCTGGTCCTTCTGACACATGTTTATTCAAATTAGTGTCAAGACATTATTAGTTAGGCTTGAATTTCGCTGGATAGTGGCATCTGGAAGTTTTATGGATGGAATCCTTGTTTGTTTGCACAGGAGAAATGCTGACTCAGTTCTCTCAACAGACATAAAGCTATTTCTCCTTTGCAGTTTTCATGACTGTCTGTAGTTTTCACACAGAGACTGAAGTTAATGAGCTGCAACATGTATTCCTGAAGTCCAGAAGTTCATAGTATTGTTTGTGTATGTATATATATGTATTATATACGTATGTTCCAGAAAGGATCTTGTTCATGATCAAGTTCAGTATAGTAGTGTTTGAAGTGTTGGTTTATATCATGCGTTCATTTTTTAAACCCATTTTTAGTACCAGGACTATGAACTCTAACAAGTTTTTACAAGATATAAACAGACACTGTTTTTCATTCTTTTTCTTCATAATAGTGTTTTGTGTTTTGTTTTTTTCATTTTTGGATTTTTCCCCATATTTTTTAAGTACACTTGGTGTTAAGACACTTGATTTTTCTCTTTCCATTAAGTGTCGCTGTCAGCAAAGCCGGAGCTATAGTAAACTGCCTGGAGAAGTTCTGAGGCAATTGTTGTACCCTACTTGGTCCCATCTGCAACAGAAAATAAACCCTGAGAAATTAACCAGCTGAGTAACACTTTGAAAGCTAGGAAACTATCTTAAAATTGATAACACAATGAAGGGCTGCTGTAGAAAGACAGTCCAGAATCACTCTGTAGTAAAATGTCTTCAGCTGTTGATAAAGTTTACCTTCAGGTATGATGCATCAGAATTCTACTTCATACAGAAATTCATTCCTATATATCAAGATATGAAATTAAAAACAAAAAATAATTTTTAAGCCTTTTTTTCATTGAATTATTAGGGATAAAATAGCTGAAATAATTAAACACTTTTTTTTTCTTTTTGGGGGGGAGAGGGTTTGCACATAAAAAAGAGGTAATTTAGAAAATTCAGGCTATATGTAACTGGTTTTGTCTAGATTATAGCCACTTTGCAGTCTGTTAATTTTTCAAGCATTTGGTAACTGTTCAGCAGCAGCATTATTAAAAGTGTTATATTAAAATGCAGTATGCAACTTCTATGGATTTTTTAACTAAGCAAAATATAATATATGCCTCTCATGCATAAATAGAGTTCATTATATATGTTATCATCTGTTCTTATAAAGAGTTTACTGAAAGATTTTGCACTGCTAATTCTAACAGACAACATACTATGTCTCTCAGTTATGATAGAGAATAATTGAAACTAAAATGGAAGATCATCTATAGACTTCAGCTTTCACACGTGACTGACTCCTCAGCTCCTCATAGTTCCTTTCTAGGTGAAAATAACATGCTGATTAATAGAACTTGAGATCCTAGCTCTGTATAAATCTGGGGAAATTTTACCTTCAACCACAGAAATCAGCATTTTAGAACAAAACATAAACTTGTTACTTTGAATTTGATACTCATCTTTTTTGAAACTGATGTTTTATTCTGTGCAATTAGGAATTTTCAAAAAAGTTAGGCTGGATACAAGAATTGTAGTTCAGTGGAGTCTCCCTTACCAGGTCTATTGTTTTAAGAGCTGAATCAAGGTAACTTCATTTGGTCAGAGAATTTTTCTTTCAATACCTGTTTTTTTTCTGGCTTCATGTGAAGCCACCCTCTTTACACCCAGATAGCAAAGAAATGAAAACTCATTACATGACATTATATTCATTTAATGTCTCTTTCCTTGATGTGAGAGAATAGATGTATTTAAATGATAATCACATCAGGGCAATTTCCATTTCTGTTCTTGTACTCTTTGTGAACATGTATAACCCTGCAATCAACATTTTGAAATCTGGTTCTGCCTAGTATCCAGTTTTCAAAAATTTTGATTGCCCAGTAGCTCCTTCTTAGCTTCTTGATGAAACGTCTGCATACTTAGTATCAGGCCTCATAATTTAAAACTTCATTATGGATATGTAATTTGAAATTTAAGATAGAAATGATTAGCAACCTGTCATTGCAATAAAGCAAAATGATAGAGGTGGGATGAGAGGATAGGGTGAGAAGTAACAACATATATCTGAAGGGATTAGATCCAGTTGTAATTTGAAAAAGAAGGAACATACCTTTCATAATCAGAGATAATTTAAAACATTTTCTTTTGAAATGCTTTGAAATAGATTACATACTAGATGGTTACATGGAATCCATTACTGTTCACTAGTTAAAATAAAAAAAAAAATAAAAAATGAAGACTCCAAACATCTATTTTTCTGACTTCTCATGCTCTTTGCAAACTTGCAGTTGAGCTGAAACTTGATAAGAAGCTCCAGAGTACCTGACAGAATCTGTGGGAAATATGAATCTCTGGTGGGCTTTCTTGATCATAGCATATAGGAACATATTTATTTTCTGATCTCCTGAGAATAAAAATGTTTATGAAAAGACATCAAATGATACCATTAATAGAAAGACTATGCTGAGCCACCATATGTGAGCCACTGCAATTGCTTTCAGTCAAACCAAGTGAACTACAGACCACAAAATATCAACTCTGGCCTGCTAAACATCGATATCATAATCCTCAGTCTGCAATCTGTGTCCCTCCATTCTTCTCGTCTCTCCTTCTTTCTCTTCTCACCTCCTCTTTCTTTCCACTACATCAAGTGTCATATTTGAGTTATCTTCGATACATATATACACAAACTTCATGTTCACCTTCTTCATTATTCAGAAAACACATCTGATAAACATACCTGTCTATATAGCACAAAATCCCTGAAGAAAAATTATTTCATGAGAGAAAACTGGAACATTTTACTCAAAAGTAATAGACTTCACTTACAGTGACAACATAAAATAGTGAGATGCACTTAAAATTAAGAAGGGATTTTGAAAAAATCCTGGTGCTAATTTTATCACTGTCTAGTGACACAGCATTGCTGGCTGGAGTGAGAAATGGGGAAGTTCTAAGTCTGATGATTCTGTGCCAGTTTTTGTTTTTTGTTTTTTTTTTCTGGAGAGGTTTCTGGGAGGTTTTTTCATAGCTTTCAGGCTCTCTACAACATGAATGGATATTAATATTTAGAGAAGGAATGCTATACTTAATCTCCTATTTGATAATTTAGGCTAAGTACAGTGTTGCTGTGCCCTTTTTTTTTCTGGTGGTATAATTTGGTTTTGGAATAGAACAGTTTGGTGCACTTTTCCATTTCCTGTTGTCCTAAGATACATAAGCAGCTTTATTCATTGAGAGTACAGGAGGGGAAATACAGCTGCTGAGAAAGAAAGCAGCGTAGCAGCTTGGCTACACAGCAAAGGGGATTCAATGGACCTAGTCCTGCTTTGAACAGTGCTTCCTTCTGTTCTCACTGTGTTACTTTACAGCTATTAAACAGGTAGCTGACATTGCTAAAATCATTGACTTAATTAAGAAATGTACTGCTAGAATTTATGGCAATTGTTATTCAAGTTAAATATGATAGACATTTTTGTGTTATCCTATTGGCCATGGCAAAGAATAGAAAAAATTAATATATAGATTACTCTTATAGTGAAAACTCTGAATGCCCAGGAGGTGAATTGCAAATGTTTATAATAGTGGTATGAAATATAACTTTATCTGGTTTGTACTGCTGCACATAATTTTAAAGCTGAGTTATAAAACTGAATTATTAGACTGTATAAGTAATGAAATGGTCTTCATGTTTGCACTGGAGCACTGCTATAGAGTTCAGCAATTCTGCTGAAACGTTTTTGAGAGGGATATGAGAGCAATGTTAAAAATTTCAAGAATGATCACAGCATTATGAATAATGGGAGATGGGGAAGCAAAGGGACCAGATGGTGTTTATTAACAGAATAGGATTTCCATCTAGTGACTTCTGTGGACTTCTCATGCATTTCTTTCAGCAATATTAAGAAAAACTGGTAGCTGATGTACAACATTATAGAAGCATGTAGATAAAAAATACTAGTAGGACTTAAATATGTCAGGATGTGGGTGCTAAAAATAATTTTGGCAGTTGGTATAAAGCTAGAGAATGTGAACAAATAGGATAAACCATTTTTAGCTCTCCTGCATATCAGAATTCAGAATATGGCTACAAATAGTCTAAATCTTGGATTCAGGTAAGGTTCATAAAGTCCTAGCTGTATAAAGCTAATAATACCACTGCTAGCTTAATATAAAATTTAAAGGAGTAGTAGTGAATTATTGTTTAATGTTGGAGTGCTTTCTACATGGAATGAACTTAAATTTTTTTTGCCAGGTTGGAGTTGCAAAAGCCACAGAATTTAAGCTGTAAGTCTGTCACCAAGCTTGCTACCTGAGGATACTACAGGCTCTTTGTTGTTGCTGTTCACATTTAGCCATATCTGCTGTGGGTGCGTCTGGACTCTGTCATTACATTCCTTCAACAACCCCTTAATAAAAATTAAAGGGAAGGGAATTATTAAATTGCATAGATACATTTAAATGAAACACACTAAATCTAACAAGGCAACATGCTAGACAAAAGCCAATATATATTGTCTGTTTTTACTTCTATTCAACATGTTGGGTAACAAGAAGCAAAAAAAGGTGCTGGAGTTTTTGTATTTTGTCTGAATATATGAATATCTGCCAAATTGTCTTGGAAGTCCCAGAAAATCATCTAACACATCCTTTTTGTCCTGGAATACTT